TAGAATTAGGCCAACTCAACTCAAACTCTCTATCCCAATACTGCTTTATTGACAACACTTTATTGGCATCAATGTATCGAGAACATATGAATATAACTTTCCAAACCAAACAAACTAAATTACAGCTTAGCAATAAAACTCAATTCCACGCAATTTTCGAAATGGGAATAGACTTTTTGCGTCTCACATATGAAGACATTACGCTAGGAAAATAAGAGGACAAAAAAACTGTAAACTAGTAATAAATACTACTACTACATAATCTGCAAGTCATAATGTGAAAGATATTCAGGGATAACAGCAATAAAACATGCTATAATAGCACGAGAACAGACCCTCGAAAAATTCATCCTTAAAAACACGAAATAATAAATTTACGACTGCTTATGTTGCATGCTTGCATATATGAAATTTTTATGTTCTGCCGTTTGTTCCGTCTCTTTTTTCATCTCCCCTATACAAATTGGATGCTGCGTTAAATTTCGATTTAAGCCATCAACCCCCAGAGATTCTCTTGTAAAAAAAAAGAAAGACGAACTATTCACCGGATTATATATATAGATTTTGGCGAAACGTCTGCAGGATTCCAGTCGGACTTCAACAAGCGAACGGATGATATGCCGGAATATAGTGTCATCATATATATATATATATATATATATATATATATATATATATATATATATATATATATATATATATATATATATATATATATATATATATATATATATATATATATATATATATATATATATATATATATATATATATATATATATATATATATATATATATATATATATATATATATATATATATATATATATATATATATATATATATATATATATATATATATATATATATATATATATATATATATATATATATATATATATATATATATATATAATATTTTTAAGATCTCACTTGGCATAAGTGTAGTTTTATTTAGGCCAGAGAAGCAGACAGTCCAGAAAATTTACAAGTCCAATTGATGTTGCTAGAAACTCAATAAGGAACAATCGCTTCGAGATTCTTCGTGAATCTCAAAATCTTAGAATAAGATCTTGACTATATGTTTCAGAACGTAATTCAGAATTATGAAATTAACATAATGTAGCCTAAGATATCAAAGAAATACTAACAAATAATCTGTTCTCATGACCTACCTTTGATAAAAAATTTTGAAGTCCATTTTTCTCGAGAACGGTTTATCCTAGTATCAATCAAGTGTATCTTTTTTTCGTAACACAACTTGTCCCTTTTTATGAGAAAGACTCTAACAGTCAATTCACAAAAACGTTGCGGAACGTTTCTCGACATATATTTATTACGAAAATTGGGGCTTATTTTGAACGTAGAATATGCTCTTACATTTCAGACCACTAATTTTAGGACATCTTGTATACCATTTATGCTTGAAACAGAATTGTAAGTTTCCAATCCAATGGGTAAGGGCGACTATGTACGGTATTACAAAAACGGTCGCTCAGAATAAGGAAAATCCTGTAAATTAATTTCTAATTTCTTAGATCACCGTCACCAGCGTTTTTAGGGTGAGAGAATTCTTTTTTTTTTAATGCTCTTTACTCTCTCTCTAAGAGGGGGGAAACCTGTTCAAACATTTTCAGATAGAACGCGAAAATCTGGGGCATTTTAATAAACTCGGAGTCGTTAAAAAGGACATTCGTGCTATCAGTCATGCGAGTGCGCTTGCTTACCTTGCTACCAGGTTTTATTTTCTGACTCAGAAAATATTTAATGAAACGATACGGCCTTTGTTGCATCAATAGATAACCAAATTGAAACCTAAAATAAAACAATAATATGATTTAAAGCTTAATAGAAATAATTGAATTTTGTGAAGCATTTCCACTTAGCAGACTGTAGTTATTGTTCAATTTATTATTTAGGATTCCAGTTCTTTGATGAAACTAATTAAACAGAGCTGATACATCTACTTGGTATAGCCAATATCATATCCAACTAATTATAGGCTGCTATTGAGAATTAGAAATTGATCATATCCACTTCAATTCTTTACAGCATTATAGAAATTATAACTTCTAATTGTTATACTAACAGCCAAGAAACGCATCAAAGTATTATTAGCCCAGCTACAAGATGAAATTAATTGTTATTTCCACAAACACAATTGTCATCACTGGCAGAAAACGATTAGAACAGATTAATATACAGAAATTTCAGATACAGATTTGTGAAACCTTTTATTTACTCAAATCTACGCCGGACCGTTAAAATATCGTAGGCGGAGAGCATTTTCACTGAAATTAGTACGTGGAAATGGACTCAAAAGAACCACAAGAAACCTAAAGAGAAACGTTGTTTAAAAATCATCCGTCCACCCATTTCCATATATAAGCATTGAACATAGGGAAGTAAGTTTTACTAATCAAACAACTTAGAATGCTAAATGTAATAAAATATGGTCCTAATGCTTTTATGTGAAAAACAAAAATATTTGGTTTTTATTCTATTAGAAATTCGAGTAAATTTTGGCTTCGATGGAAAAAGTGCGAACATGCGTTTCTCCTAAATCCTGAAAAGTAAATATAAACATAGTCCAACTTCAAAATTAGCATAGAATAAATTTCTCCACTTAAACTATAATTTTTGAAAAATAAATACGTGTCAGAGACATTGTTTTAAACTAATCCCTCTTAAAATGGCTTCGTGCGTAATATAAATTACGAACGTTGCGCGTCACTTTCAATATCTAACTTTTTATTTATGTTATAAAATTGGCAAAAAAGGTTCCGCTTTAGAGTGAATAAATTTCGGCGGCGTATGTGTGATGATCGGCTTGAAATATTTTTGGTAATTTTTCCATTTTTTAATTTAGCTTATTTTTTTTTTAAATTTCAATCATAAACCCTAAAAGCAAGAATAAAAAAATGGTTTTGTTTAAACATTGTTTTTGCTACAATGGTGGTAATATATGCATATACTTGAATGGCTATCATATTTTTTAAGGATTTGGTTGGACGCTATAAAAAACATCTAATAATATTTTCTTTCAGAGACACAGTAACAATAGTATTTTAATTAATTTCAATAGTGTATTGGTTCCCTAAATTCTTTTTTGGCCGCCCTATATTAAATTTATCAAATAGAAATTCGATCAATGCTTTAGGCCTTCTGAATGTTTATTTAACTTCTAGAAAAATTTTGAAACTGTCAGGGACAATTTTATTCGTAATTTACCACGGTGACCACAGGCATATAGAAAATTAAATTAAAGTTAAGTGAAGTTCTTGTTCTGTACAATTGTCCGAATTTTCAAAAAATATCATGTCAGTATTGATTTCTCGCAGGCGTTAACCGCGTGTATTGGAGCAGAAAGGAAGACTATTCTTTTTTGGGACGTTTCGCCTCTTTATTGTAGTTTTTTTTTCAACCCTACCTAACAAAACAACTACTACCTAACAAGGCTGGAAGTACTCGAAACTTCAGAATTATTTGTGAGTGTCGAATCAGTCACTTATGCATCATTAATATTTAATCTATTTTTGTTGTAATTGTAAGTTAAGGGCACTGGCCAAATCTTAACTGGCTTACTCTTAGTTTAGAAGTGTATAATTCTTCTTCGTTTTTATTTATATCTCGCTGGTACATAGTTTTAAATAGTTGGTTCCTTGTTTCATCACGAAAAAGTGTGACAAATAATTATGAAGTAAATTTCGAATGTTTCTCCCCATTAATTAATTTAAAAATTACATGCAACTAAATGATGTTATATCAAGTAGGATTGAAAAAGCTTCATTATAGTGGCGAAACAAGAGAGCAAATAATCAAAATAAATCAGCAAAATAATATACAGGTAACAAATTGGTAATGACGATGTAGTAGAATCCTGGAGTCTTGAGCTAGACCCTGTATTTTTTATTTCTAAATTGCATATGCTATGAAACATTTAATTTTTTACATTCATGGGCGTATATTATTATATTTAATCCAGATAAATACTCCGAAATTCTTCACATATTTATTAAAATTATATACGCTCTAGTATTATTATTTAAAGTATTATAACAAAGCGTACGCAACATAATCCGCTTCGCGTATACAAAAAAAAAAGAAAAAAGTACGCAACCTCTCTATTCCCATTCGGAAGTTCTGACATCGCAAAACTCCGACGTAAGTAATTTCTGCTCCGTTGGCTTATCTGAATCGCGTAAGATATCGATCATGCAAGTTGCTTATCCATGCGTATCAACATCAGAAAAACCGACTTGAAATTTGATTATTTATGCCAGATTTTGTACGGTTATCGAATCAAGATGGTTTTAGGAAAGTAAAATGCGGAATGCTTTGAAGCAAGCTGCCAGGTTGTAGATCGTCTTTTTTTATTCATTTAATCGATGTTATTAGAACTGCAGTTGCAACAATTTTCAATTGGAATGTAGGTTAGTATTTATTTTAGCGGAAACTATTATTTAGAAATAATATAATAAGAATACTTAGTAATTCAATTATGCAAGGACATAGCGTTTCTTTTAAATAGTGGAATATTGGGAAAAATTTGACACTTTTGAAGCAAGCAAACTTATCAGCACAATTCTAGCAACGTTTTGAAAACTGAAAATGTTTAACGGAATTTAGTCTATTTAAATATGAAATCACATGGCGATATTATTTTCCCGCCCAGTAGACTGCAATCGTTCCGATACTAATCGCAAATGAAAGTTAGATGAAGCCAAGAAGAGAAAAAGTGGAAAACTTTAACGTCACCATATAGATTGTTTGATATGTGTTTTCTCATATATTTGTATTTTTTTCCCTTAGCAAGCGCGATCCAATTTGTTTTTGAGCTGAAGTTAATAATAATACGAAATGAAAGCCTACGATAACCAACTACATTTTGCAACTTCGGAATTTTCACGTCTTTTTTTTAATGTCTTGTTTTTTTGAAGAATTATTGCTTACATTGTGAGCATGTAATGATGTCTTTAGTCAAAGAGACGACACTTCCAAACCGATTTATTATTTCAATGAGACATATCATCATTTTTTGTTCAAATCCAACACAACAAATATCCTATTCATTTCACATATATTGTTAATTATAATACAAATATAAATCGACTCCCTCTCTACCGCTTTTGCTTCATTTTTCTTACATTATATTACAGTGTTTGAAATACAAAAATCTCCGCGTCCGTTACAGTCAGTTATAAAATAGAATTATTCAATTTTATCACAAGCAATTGGAGTCTCATACAGAGCGAGTCTGTCGTCGTCTCTATTCCTATACCGTCACCATAATTCCGGCAAACTTGTCACTTCGATATCTTCGCGGCAGATGTCTCTGTTGCCGCGGGCTCTCTTATTCTTGGTCTTTAGCCGTGCCGCCAACATTGCCAAGGTAGCGATGCCGCAAAGCATCCCCACCGCTAAAATGATCATGCCCGGATGTAGAACTGTGGTCTGCTGTTCGGTAATAGAGTACATGGATATCTGATAAGTCGAGCTGTTCCATTGCATCTTATTATCATCGCTATCGCTGGAATTTAATACCCTCTCGTTAAAATCTCCGCCACTGCCGTTGGATAAATTATTATTCCTCGGGGCTAAGTTTCCGTGGTAAATTGTGCTGTTGTTGGATTCTGAAATTGCGATTTTACCTGTTTGACTAATACTGTATGGGATCGAAGTGGAGCTCAATATTTTGTTTTTCGACGTTTTTAACGTCCGCCTATATTCTGGAACGCCGACGCCGTTGACGGGATTCTTTATAACGTCGTTTATTATCGCATCGAGTGTTCCTTCAGCGGAATATTGTCCCAAGAGACTCGCATTCTTCTCCACACTAGTTTTTTTTTCCGGATTAATGGTATTTTTACCCTCATTTTTCGCGTGATTTACGAGCACTTCGACGTATTGTAAATCAATCAAACGAACGCCCCTGAGATGTAGCGGATTGGCACAAACAACGTCTCTGTATTCGTTATAAGCATGACGTCTTAGCCATCTGGCTAACCAGCGCAAGTCGGTACAGTTCAGCCTATTATCTTTTATGTGGATTAATCTTAACTGGGGAAGGAAGTCTAGCAAATCGGACCGGATATTGGCCAAATTCGTCGCAGAAACGTCGAGCTCCTGCAGTTCTCTGGATGCTGCCAACGCCGCGGTATCTGCCAGCAATTGCTTCGCTAATCCGGGGCTTTTGGATAAGTCCAAATTAATTAGGTGCTCGGTCGATGGGAGTGGGAACGAAACGTCTTTGGCAGAGGATATGATGTCTATGGAGGAGAGCTTTAAGACCTGAAGCGCGGGAGGCCCCGAGAGGCTTCCGGGATACAGGCTTCGTATGGGATTCCTCGATAAATCCAAAGTAACGAGGGACGTTAGATGTTTAAATGCACCAGCTTCTATGTATCGGATGTTATTGTCACCCAACAGGAGGACTTCGAGCTGTTTTAGTCCTTCGAGATCGTCGCTTGAGATTTTATCGACGCTGTTGCAGTCTAAATATAGCGCGACGAGTCCCTCCGGTAAACTCTTGGGGATTTCTATGATATTATTGTCTGAGATGTATAATAGCGACAAAAACTCCAGTCTGCCCAACGCGTCGTCTTCGATCGACCGAAGTGTGTTTGAACTTAAATCCAACAGCTGCAGTAGGGGATACGGGTCCATGTCGCCGCAGCTGATGACCTCGATAGAATTTCCGGCTATCCTCAGCGTTTTTATGGAATGCGTTAGGGCGGACGGCACTTGGCGAAGTCCAGTTTCGGACACGTCAACTGTCTGGAGTTTTCTGCTCGTACCGACAAGGACACCGTGGGATTTGCCAAGCCTGGGATTACCCTTTAGTAATAATCTTGCCAGACTGGGCAACTGGAGGCTGCCCGGTATTACTTGGGCCAATTTATTCCAGGAGACATCCAGTTGTTCGAGTAGTGCCAAAGTGCCAAAACTTTCTTCTTTCAGAACCTCGATGCTATTGTGGCTGATATTCAGGAATTGCAATGATCTCGTAGGGGCCAAGACGCCAGTTTCTAATTGAGTTAACTTGTTGCGCGACAAGTCTAGATATTTCAGGTTTTGAAGTTCGCCGAACGCATTTAATTCAATTTGGCAGATAAAGTTGGCACTTAGATTTAACAATTCCAGCGTCCGCGCGACTTTAATCTGGCTAACTGTGGAAATTTGGTTGAGCGAAAAGTCCAATGACAGTATCGACTTGTTTGCCGGTAAATTTGGGATTTGCGTGAGATTGCTCTGCAGCATTTTAATTTGGGTTACCGTCGGAGGCAATCTCTCGAAACACTCACTCACGTTAAACGGAACACTATTTAGCAAACTTAGAGTTTCCAGTCGGGGCAGTTCGCCCAACGTTTGCACGAACTCGCAAAATTCATCGTCGATGTTAATCAACTCTAAAACCGTCGTCGTATTAGATAATGTCCAATTGTAAGTGTAGCCGTCGCAGCGGACAACAGTGTAATAACATTCCTGGTCCGCGTTGTCGCACGGAAGTTTTCTACAACCACACATGTCCGGGCAAGTCCGGGCCAAATTCACAGCGAGGACTATCGCCAAACAGAAAACTTGCCACATTTTTTTCCGATTACATGCCTCCCGGAAAATGTCGACGTTCACATTCTCGTATGATCTCGCGCGGACCGTCGACGCTACCAGAAATCCGTGCGTCTCAACTCCGCGGCGTCGGGACGTCAACTGATGTTCGATGCGAGGCGTCACGAGTGCCAGAATGATGTGCGCGGCGTATTGCGCAACGTCAGATATATGCCTATTTTCTGTATTTTCTTTGAAACGCTTTGGTTTGCTTTTTGCGAAATTTATTTGGCGGTATTTGCGGGAGAATGTTTGGTTTGGGTTTCAGGAGGGAGATGTATGTGCGTGGAGAGTTGAATGGGCGATATTTGGTTATCGGAACTGGTCGGAATTTCGGTTTTACGTGCGGTTTTGTTAAGTAACGAGATATGAAATAAGGCGATCGGAATATGATATCCACAGAGGCGCTACTTTATAGTTTTAGTGCGAGGATTCATCAACGAGTAGGCGCTGAGGGGCGTTGACTTACCGTGATCGGATCGAGTTGGGTAATCTCCATTCTATAGTAGGTACGATTTGCGATGGCATGGTCATAAAACGAATGGAGAAGGTGCCTCGGTATTTTACCTTCATCCACGCGTATACTAAGAATGGCAAAACCCGCCCATTTACCTGCTAGTGTCCTACCTTTGTCCATTATGCCCCGGTGTCGTATACTAGACAGAAATAGCACCAATTACCGGATAATTGCAGTTCTTTTCAATACAAAACAGACAAGACAAGAACAAAGTTGTCATTTGGCTGCGCACTAAGCGGATTAATTACCCAGAAAATGGTTTAAAATGCAAGTTCTTATAAATTGTCAAAAATTACAAAACAAACTTGCCGTATGCTGTAAACGTAACAATTGCTGAAATGGGTCATCAGCTTTTAAGATTATTTCCTTACCATTGTATATTTAACGCCATAGAATCGGTGTCGGCTCAGTTACTAAAAATATTTTAAGCGGGACAAGGTACGATGATACTGCAGTAGTATCTGTTCGGAAGGCTACCAAAACTAACACATACGTAAAATATAACAAAAGAATACTTAGAAAAAGAGGAAACACTTGAAATAACGGTACCACCACTTGTTATAAATGTAGGTAGTAGTAGTAGTAGTAGTAGTAGTAGTTTCAATTTTGGCTCTGATAATGAAGATGCTTCTTTATAAATTCGAACTATGGTTTACTTGTACATTTACTCTACGACTTTGTTGGTATCTTTTTAATTTTTATTGCATGGAGAGAGTTTTTCGACAATAGTTTCTTTAACAAATTTTAATAATTTTTTCATGTATATTCACCTACTTAAATATTCACATCCCTAATAAATGCCAGGTACAACTGATTCTGTCTCTTTTACTCCTAAGTAATATGATCGTGATCGTTAGTAACAGCTGTCTCGCATTGATCAGATAGACATTTAAGGGAGAACAACATCCGTTGAAGTATAAGTGGAAGTACAACGCCATGCACCGTGGAGTTTAGTCGGTCGACCCAGTTTTAAAACATTTGCCCGCCAGTTTCACACTTTATTATCTAGTAAAGATAAATGTTTATATTTGAAAGTGTCTGAGTGAGACAGAGGTGTTTTAAATTTTCTCAGAAGCGTATGGCTTAATAGTAGTGTCGATAAAATAATAATTAAAATTAACCAAAACTTGTAACAAATTATTTTTATCCTCTGGGGACAATGCGTTCTAGCGTTCCACTGGGTGTTTTTGCTAAATGCCTCCATCCATTCATTAACGTCTTGTAATGGGTGTTTTTTTTTTCGATGTATAGAGCTTTAAGTTGGCATTACTGTTCAAGATGGCTACCGATTTAATTTAACAGTTGGCAAGTGATTTATTCTCAGTTTGGTTTGGCAATTCATCATGAATTCATCAAGTAAGACGTAGATTCGTCGAATGGGCCCAAAACGAGATTGTCGTTGTTTCCGATTTTCATAAGCGAATTTTGTTTAGCAATGAAGCGCACTCCTGGTTGAATGGCTACATCAACAAACAAAACTGCCGTATTTGGAGCGAAGCTAATCCTCAAGTGTATGTCGAAACACCGTTACATCCAGAAAAACTGACTGTTTGGTGCGCTTTATGGGCTGGTCGAATCATTGGTCCGTACTTCTTTAAAAACGATGATGGTCAGAACGTTACAGTCAATGGTGATGGGTATAGAGCTATGATTACTAACTCTTTCATTCCTGAATTGAATAACCATGGTGTCCAGGAGATGTGGTTTCAACAAGACGGCGCAACATGTCATACAGCTCGTGCCACAATCGTTTTATTGAGAGACACGTTTGGTGACCGCCTAATTCCACGTTTTGGATCTGTGAATTGGCCTCCAAGATCTTGTGATTTAACACTGCTAGACTACTTTCTGTGGGGCTATGTAAAGCCATTGGTCTATGCGGATAAGCCACAAACGCTTGACCATTTGGAAGACAACATTCGCCGTGTTATTGCCGAAATACGGCCACAAATGTTGGAAAAAGTCATCGAAAATTGGACGTCCAGATTGGGCTACATCCGCGCCAGCCGCGGCGGTTATATGCCAGAAGTCATATTTAAAATGTAATGCCAGAAGATTGTCTTTCGGATAAATAAAATTCATGTCAATCCAATAATCCTTCGTTTTTTTATTGCAACTTAAAGTTCTATACATCGAAAAAAAACACCCCTTATATATTTAAAATTGCTTCTCACTGCAATCATATTCACTTTTTGTCCCACAACATCACCTTCACAAACTCATCAGGTAATGCAACAGTGGTAATTGCTTACAAATACATCGTAGTTTGAGTTAGTTAGTAGTTACGCAACAATAAGAAAACATTCTTAAATTTGCGGAAAAATGCATGAAACCACTTACTATCTAATTCGTAAATATATTATTTCTATGAAATAAATTGTTTAACAACAAATAAGATCTGACATAAATGTAAAAAATGTGTCATATCCAGAGTATCCCGAAGTTTCCAAAGTATCATGTTAAAATGTGTCCCGGGTAGGTTACCCGTCAAACAAAACAGTTTTATTTTAACAGAACAAAAATTAAGCACACAACATTATGCAGCAATTAATAGTCTTCGGAACGGTCATCTCCTCTTGACCATGTAACTAGCGGGTCAATGGTCCGATCGTCATGTTTATCATTGGTTCTGAAAATGTTTTTTTTAGGGGAACAACGCTAATAGACTAACAGAAGTCTGTAAAAGTGTAACTAAAATGCAATTTATACCATCAATAAGGCTTTACTTATCTAGAGATAGTAAAAGAAAAAAAAATCACGGTTATAGGATAAAAATTGCTTATATAGGAAGTTCCATGTTTAGTTCAATTTATTTTTATTTCTGGTATTTATAATGTGATTTAGATATTAGATATCTCGATTCCTTGACGTTTTCGGAAAACATGCCATTAAACAAACTACCCAAGTATTTTTCTATCTTGTATTTTGTATTTGTATTTTATATCGTTTTTTCTGACTGTATAAGGTAGGAGTCATAAAGAAAAACGACAGTTAAGATTATTCAATACCAGTGATTCAAACAATTATTTTCTATTTATAAGTTGCATCGTTTTCTTTGATGAAATGTTTGGTTTAGTTTATTGGTTACTCTATTGAGGTTTGTATAAATCGTCAACTCTCTAGATTTATTTATTTATTATATTCTTACTTTAGTAACAAGTCACCAGGTTTGCATATTTCAGAATACCGAATACGTTTTGTCACCACTGCCGCTGAAAGTCTGGGGAGTGGGCAAGACTCGGAAAATGGGCCGCTGGGAATGTTTTTATAAAAGGACAACCATGTACTACTTAATTGATGAACGAAATAAAATTTTACAACTGCGAAATATATGGCGCGAGGTTTGTTTTCCAAACATAAAAATCAACATAATCTGCAATTGCATCGATACTCGTGCTGGTTTGTGATTAACATTTTGAAAATAAAGCGATACAAGTTCTGTGAGAAATATCGCCATTATATGTTCAAATGTGAATAATTTCATACGGATATAACAGCCTACAGTCTTTTCCCTCTACATATCGCAAGCAGAGTGTTTTTGGAAATCGATTGAAATGTTTTGAACAGTCCAATGTAATTGGGTACTGATTAGCGACGTTATATGTTCAGGACAAAGTGCCTTTGTAATTTTGGTTTAGTTGGTTGGTTATCATGTTTGAAATCCGGTAGAGGATCCTCTATTGAATCTTTTAGGAAATTTTCAGTATAGACCGTTGCTCTATTTTCTCTGTTTAATTTTAACATTTAATCAATTTTTTTTTATAAATGAAAGCTCGAACGTAAAGAGTCAGTCATAATTTGTATGTTCTTTTATTTTTGAAAATATTGTCTTTGGTAATTAATTTCGTCAAGCGAGTGTTATATTTGATGAAAATTTTATTAGAAGTGCATTACGCATTTCTAAAACATTTTTAATGCGCCTTAAAAAAATTGAAAGGACCGCCAAATTATTCGTATACATCTTTGTCCGAACGGCAGCGTATTGTTTTGCTCTCGTTCTTTCTACATATTTGACTTATTTTATTATTTATATATTTCGCTTCGTTTTTCTGGTTATAATGCCGAATTTTATTTGTAGAACAGAAAATAAAAGAAAATAATGAGATCCAATAATAGATATAAAAAATATTGTACATAAAATACGATTACTGTATCAAAACTATTATTTGAATTTTCACAGTAAACATATCTCGAGAATCTGGACCGCTCGCTTTCTTCCACGAGAGAAATATCCCCGAAAGCGAATATTATTTATCTCAGAACATTAAAAATAAAACTGCGACTATTTGGGTAGGCGAAGTATATATTACTTTCATTCCATTTCGTAGCGTTTGGATGAGTTATATTGCGCATAAATCTCTTCCTTTTTAATTTTAAATGTTAAGCTTCTTAAAGCCGCGCGCCGCTAGGGAAAATTGGATCGGAACGTAAGGTACAACGCGGTGTTTGTTTTGATTTAATGGACTCTTCCTGTCTTGATTCTTCTTAAAGCTTTTCCTAATCGCCGAGCGAACGGGGCGATAGTTTATGACTCTTGCTGTTTATTTAGCCCTGTTGAAATTCTAATAAGTTTCTCACCTTTGTTATTATATTTAAATTTTCATTATACAGTTTGAAGTTAACAGCCGGTTCCCTGTAAGCAAACAATAATTGCACTGCCTTTTTAGGATTTTTTATATTTAGCGTTTCAAATGCAATGCGATTGTACTTTTCCTAAACGAGGTATAAGTCATTCCTAAAAACCGACAGCCTAGCATTTTAAGTGGATAGGTAACCACTGCTTTCCAACTTGGTGCGGATAGAACTAGTTCCACCGAATGATTTGTTTAATCCACGAGGAACGGGGAATAGAGGTACTGTTCATTCTTTAAAATGTTTCGAGACATATTTAGACATGTTTAAAACATTAGGCATTTTCAGAGGCACACTTCAAAGAACAATCTTTGGGCGGGACTCACTTCTATAGCATCACCAATAATGAC